AGTTTGGATTCCAGGGCAAAGGTTGGGAACAGCAGCCTTTCCAGGTAAAACCAGAACCGCCCTGAGCCCAGCATGTCAGAGACCTGTACTGCACCAGGAATAGTCTTCGCCTCCATGACGGCAGAGAGACCTGCCACACTTCACAGCTGCCCCACAATACTTTGGACGGAAGGGGCTCTGTCATCCGTATCTAGACTCCTCTCTTCTCAGGTGGACACCACACGGTCAGGCTGAAGGCTACCATTGCTGCCGCAACCACTGCTGCTAGGGCTTTGCTTTTGTTTCGGGGGCTGACTCTTATTATGCAGTCTCTTGCCTCACCTTTGGAATGCTCGATTATAGACATATGTCCCCTCCCTTTGAGCTTTTTTTAAAAAATTGTGACAAAATCTCACTCTTTAGCCCAGACTGGCCGGGGACTCCTGTCTCAGTGTTCTAAGTGCTGGGATGACAGACATGTGCTATCAGACCCAACCTTTTTTATCTTTTTTAACTCTTGTTTGTTTGGCTGGTATCTTTGTTTTGTTTTTTCACTACTGAGGAATGAATCCTGGCCCTTCTCACCAAGCTACAGCCTCAGCCCTTTTTTATGTATTTTTAATTTAATTTAATTTAATTTTTGGTTCCAGGAATTAAACTTAGGACCTTGCACTTTCAAGACAGGTGCCGTGTCACTGAGCTGTATCACCAATCCCCTTTTATATTATCTATTTCAAAACAGAGTCTGTCACTAAATGTTAACTTGCCTAGGTTAGGCTCAAATTTGCAGTCCTGCATTGGCCTCCCAGAATGCTGAGATTACAAGCATGTGCCAACAAGCCGGGTGACTGCTGTTTTTATTCATGTCTGTGGAAGAAAGGTATTGGCTCTTGGGACCACTGTACCTCCTCCCCAGACCTGACCTGAAACGTATCTGAAAGAAGAGTTAAACCAGAGAGGCTGGCCCGGGAGTGCAGGGGTTACTCCCGGATATGATGTTTACTTTTTTTTCTTCCTTCTTTCCCTCTTCCTGTTTCCTGCCTTCCTTCATTCCTTCTTCTCTTTTCTTCTCTTTCTTCACCCCCTCCTCCTCTCTTCTTTCTCCCTGTCCCTTAGTGAGGTTACTTTTTAGTAAAGATAAAAAGACCACTGTTGCAGAGGGTGGGAGTTAGCTATAGATGAACAAATAATGTGAGGGAAGTATTTGAAACTGGTTGGTAGTGACAGTTGTACTACTGTGTAAATTCGCTAAAACTCATAGAACAACACACTGTGAACAGTTTAGCATGTAAATTATCCTTCAATAAAGCTATTTAGGCCAGGTATGATGGCCCATGCCTATAATCCCAGCACTCAAAGAGGCTGAGGCCAGAGAATTTAAGTTCAAGCCCAGCCTGGGCAATTCACTGAGACCCTATCTCAAAATAAAATGTGAAAAGGGTCAGGATGTAGCTGCAACTGTTCAGTCCCCAGTACCACACACGTGCACACATGCACATGTGCACTTACGAAAACTGTTTAAAAACATGTATGTAAACTGAATTCTCAAAGCCACAACTGGTATTTCTTGAGGCACTTTTTATTTTCCCCTTGAGTCACCTTTTAAAAGGTCTTTAGTGATAGAAAGAGGAAAAACTGAAGCTGTTGCCTTTGTGTGCCCAGAAGCAGATCCATCTCTTTCTGGACCTCAGTTTCCCCATCTGTGACATCCTGCTGACCCAGGAGGTGAGAGGTGCTATGGTGCCAGAATCACATGAGGCGCACAGCGAGCTTTGCCTTTGCCACAGAGCACCTCTGCTTTCCTGTCTTTGTGCAGGGAATTTCCTCCAGCCCACAAAACAAACCCAGCCAGGAACAACTGGAAAATCTGGGCTGGGCTGGGCTGGCCTTGTTCCCCCCAGGTTCTGGCCCTTTGGCCCAGATCAGAGAAGCAGCCAACACTTGCTGCAGAGAAAACCCCGCTGCAGAGGTTTTAGACCAAGCATCTCCTGAGTACTTGCGCACTTTGTCTGTGCTCCTTCCTCTCTGCCCACCAGCAGCCCTGACAAGCAGCCTCAGCCCATTGTACAGAGAAGGAAGCAGAGGCACAGAGTAGGCCCTTGTCCAGGGCAGCACAGCTGGGTAAAGACCAAGCTTCCTGTGCCTGGGAAGAGGCCCAGCCCCTCGCTCAGGTTGCCACAGAACACACTGCGGTTGGGACTCCCCTGCATCCCTCTCCTGCCTTTCTCATTCCTGTTGGAACACCAGGACAGCTGAATCATTACCTCTAAGAGCCTTTCCTCGACCTCCACCCACTCTGCCTGCATTGGAAGCCCAGAGAGCCAAGAAGCTGTGGTCCTTTCCCAGAGTGTGCAAGGAAGGAGGCCCCAGGAATCAGAAGGGAACCTAGTGATGGTCTGCATGTTTATGTCCCTCTGAAAGTCCTGGCTTGACATCCTAGTGCCTAAAGTGACACTGTTAGGAGGTGGGGCCTAGGAGAGGTAAATGGGCCACAAGGGTGGGGCCCTCGCTTGGGATTCCTGCCCTGTTACTGAGTCCTGAGACCTCTCTGTCCCCTTCCTGGGAGGACACAGTGAGGCAGCTAGTGAGGACCTCATCAGGCATGGAATCAGCCTGCACCTTGGTCTTGGCTTTCTCAGCCTCCAGAAAGAACTCTGAGGAAATATTTTTCTGTTTATAAACTGCCTTTCGTTATGGCAGTCTGACTGGGCTAAGATGCTGGGCTTTTCCCACCAAGGGCAGTGGGGAGCCTCTGCAGGATCCTGAGCAGGAACGGGATGAGCAGCATGTTTTAGTTTTTATTGGTATACTTTTGTGGTGCATACTGATCACATTCATCGTGGGGAGTCGGCACAAGTGCCCAACAGGTCTTCCTTCTTTTTCATGCCCTCCAGATGTGGCCTTAAGGCAGAGGGCAGCTCCTGAGTGGCAGATGTCAGAAGGGGCTCGGAGGAGGGGTACCAGGCGGCGTGGTGAGGGCACCAGTGGAGAGTTCCAGCTGGAGGTAGGACACCCCCACCCCCTTCAGCTCTTCCTTGCCCTCCTTCCTCACCCTGGCCTGCTGCTTCTCCTGGGGAGAGCTCTAACCAGCTTCTTTCGCACGTACTGCTGGAGGACCAAGTGGTGGTACTGGGACATTTACTTTTCAATTTTTTTTTTCTTTTTTTGGTACCAAGGATCAAACTCATGACCTCATGCTGTGCCACCTAGCTATATCCCCAGCCTGGGACACTTACTTTTGGAGGTCTTAATGAAAGGATTTTGGCCCAGAGGTACACTGTAGCCAGTAAAGCCTTGGAGGCCGAACCAAGAGGTTCTATCTTGAGGTCATCTTTCCGACCCCTAGGAATTTACCTGTGGCAGGAAATGAATACCAATGGGCTACCTGTGCATCACTAATGCCCCTTAGGCACCACCCCAAACCTAAGCTACATGTATTCCCCCACACCATGTGTCTGCCGGAGAAAATGTCAGCCGCCGGAGACAATGCCAGACCCCGGAGGGTCAGGGGGTCTCTCCCCACATTCTTAAAATAAAGGTCATTTATATTTCATACTTCTTATCTTTTCAGCCCACCAGAATTCTATCACTATGCAATTACTGTAGTAGTGGAAATGGGGAGAAAGAATGGGGTGTGGCCGCAGGGTGGGTTGGGGAGAGTCCTGAAACAGCTCCTTAGGCTGACTCAGGCCCTCCTGCCCTTCTTATCAGGCTCTTGGAGTGATAAAGGACCAATTCCTGGACTAAGGGTTCTAGGCCTTTGTTTGAGGCCGCCAGGAAGTGACTTAGGGGTTTTGCAGAGGCTTAAGGAGTTGTACTGACTCATGAGGGAGAGGGCCCGGGTGTGGCGAGACAGTCTGCAAATGCCGGGCCCTGCGCCACTCAGTACCAGCGGGCCAGCCAGATGGACTTCCACACCCTCCCGAGGGTGGCCATGGCCTGCCAGAGGGCTCCTTAACCCCGCTAGCTGAAGGTGGGAGGGGCACCTCAGGGCGGCTCCTCAGTATGTACTTTGCAAACAAAATATTTTCAGAATATTATTATTACCCCCAAAATGGATTAACTGCCAACTACCAGATCCTGAGTGCTTCACCTCAGTGACGACCACCCCGAGGGCTAGTGTTATTACTGTCTGGTTTGGCAGAAGAGCAACTGAGGCTCAGGGAAAAAATCTCTCACTCAGCTGTGTAGCAGCAGATTCAGGGTTCCAGCCTAGCTCAAAATTCATAACTCATTTGAAAATCCAAGAGAATGGGAAGTGAGGGCAGAGGTGAGTTTCTAGAGTTTTTGTCTCTAGGGAGCTGCCTATAGCGTAGCCTAAATAGGATCCTCAAAGGAGGACCAATAAACCACTGTCCACCCCAGTGATTCCAAGAGGAGAGGAGTCCCCTCATCTGTGTGATGACCCACAAAACCAGATGCTTTCCACAGGCCAGACGGACATTAGGTGAGTAACTTGAGCTCAAGAATGAACAGTTGGGTGACCCCATCTGTCTGGCAGGCTCTACTTCCAGGCTGTAGAAGGGGAAGAGGGTGTGGTGCTTGAAGATGAGATAAAAGACCAGGAAATTCCCAACCCAGTGGGAGAGACCAGGGCCTATTAGTCAACACAGAAAAGCACTTCCAAAAAAGGGAAGGTTCTGACTCATGTCAGGGAGCCCCCTTTGTCATCAAGGCGAACTCTGTTCTGTCAGCTTTTATCAGTCAGATCAGTCATTGTTCCCTGTATGGAACTAAGATGTCTGCTAGATGCCACAGACTTAGTCCTGCCATCTGGGTCTCTGGCAGAGAAGCCCCAGAAAACAATTGTTTGGCTTGAGTCCCATGCCTCCCCTGAACCAATCACCATAGGCTGCAGAAGGAGGGGCTCTCTGATTGGTAGAGCCGGTCTTGCCTGCCCAGGAGCAGGCATGTGAGGGAGAGACAGCAGCCAGACCATATGGCATACATGGGAAAAGAGAGAGTGAGAGGCAGCCAAAGCCATGAGACCACGGCCATCCTGAGGTTAGCTCCTCACCTACCTGCTTGTCCACTCCCAATCATCAGGCCAGGGTGACGCCAGGAATGAGTCAAGCAGGAGTAGGTTTCTCTCTGAAAGAGAAAAGATTTCTCTTTAGGGGCTGAAAGTGAGTTGTGCAGTAGAGCACTTGCCTAGGCCCTGTCAAGATCCCCAGCATCAGAACACAAACACAGGAGTAGAAATAGATTTAGCCAGGGGCTGCAAGCTTTGAAGAATGCTGTGGCAGACTGCAGTACACATGGCAGTAATATAATTAACTAGACTGACTGTCCTCCCAACATGACAGCAGGAGTGTAGGGGAAACTCCACCCCTAGATAGTCAGACTAGAGCACCAAACCAGGGCACAGCTCCTAAGCTGACCTTCCGGGAGGCTGAGTCAGTGGACATGAGAACACTGGACAGGAGTCAGATGCCCTGCAAGCTGCTGTCAGCGGGTTACAGTGCCTGAGTCAGTTGTCCTGGCCTGAGCATTGTCATGTTCATCTGCTGGTTCTTTTTTGTTTCTGTTTCTTTTTGGGTTGGGTTGGAGTGGGGAGTTTTTCAGACAAGTTCTTGCTGTATAGTTCAGGCTGCCCCTGAATTCACTATGTAGCCCAGGCTGGCCTCAAACTTGCAGCAATCCTCCTGCCTCAGCCTCCAGGGTGCTGGGATTACTGGCATGTGCCACCGCACCTGGCCTGCTGGTTCTTTGTCACAGTTCTCAGGAAGCTGATGTCACAACCTAAGGCTCACTCTACTAATACAGGGGAAGTGCTAGGTGTCAGACACCCGAGCTTTGTGTTCTCTGAAGTTGAAGAATGAATGCTAAGAAACAATGGAGGTTAAGAGTGGGAAAATTTGGGCCATGGGTGTGGTTCAGTAACACAGCTCCTGCCTGGCAAGCGGGAGGGCACAAGTCCAATCTCCACTACCAAGAAAGAGTAGGAAAGTTTACTGGAGAAAAGGAATGGGGAATAGGAATAGCTCCTGAGAGACAGGAGGGGCCCCAAATGGGTGGCCATTGAGCCCATTTCTCAAAGGAAGTTTTATAGAGATGAGATAGTCATGAGATGGGTACAACATGGGGCAAAATTATGACCAACCAATGAGATTGTAAAAATAGTGGTTCAGGTGGGATTGGTCCAGTAGTAGCAAATGTCCATGGGTGACATCACTAACCTTGATAATCATCTATAGCCTTAGTCTTAGTGAGTGGGAGAGGATGGCCTGCCCTTAATGACATAATGATTTATGTACACAGGAAATTTCAAGAGGGTGACACCAATAATCTCAAATCTCCCTTTATCCTTTAGGGACATATGTACATCTGGCCACTGTGATTTTGGTCTTCTTTAGATGCCCCTCTAGCCACGGTTTTGATGTCTTCTTTTGCAACTGACTCCCTTGAAGGCCTAGCTCTGATTGTGTATAATATTTCTTCCCAACTTAGCTGTTGTAACACTACCTCTGTATGACTTGGGGCAAGTACTCCTTCTCCCTGGGCTCTTCCTTTTTCTGAAAAATAGAGATTACTGGAAGGTTTTTGTCAGAGCTGAAGGAAATCATCACAAAGCCTGACACTTACTAAGTACCTGCTGTATGCATACATCATTTTACTTAATGCTGACAAGATGAGGCAGTTCCTACTTTTTTCTTTTCTTTTTTCTCTTCTCTCTTTTTCTTTTTGTTTTGTTTTGTTTTGTTTTTTATCGGTACTGGGGATCTAACTCACGACCGCCTGCTTGCAAGGCAGGTGCTTATGCCACTGAGCTAAATCCCCAGCCCCATTGTTTTTGTTTTTCAAGTTCTCACTGTGTAATTCAGGGTGGCCTTAAACTTACTGTGTAGCCCATTCTGGCCTCAAACTTTCGACGATCCTCCTGCCTCAGCCTCCTGAAAGTGGAATTACAGGTATGCACCACCATGCCCAATACATTCATACTCTTAGCTCCCTTTTACAGAGAGGTTAACTGAGGCTCAGAGAAGGTTAATAACCAAGATATTCAAAAAATCTTCATTTGCCCTCCGGCTCTACCCAGGAGCCTAAAGATAATCCTCTGTCTCCTGTGTCCTGTGTGCCCAGGGCCATGCAAGCCCATTCCTAGCCCCTGACTAGCCATCAGCACTGCTGAGCACTGCCTGTGAGAACCCTGTCCCCATGTCCTCCCAGGAATGCTGGGAAAGCAGCACAGCAAGCACTTCCATTCCAGAGAAGAGAAAACTGAGGCTCAGCAGGGTGAGCTGACGCCACACACTAGTAAATGATGGATGCTACTAGGAGTGTAACCCAGAGCTACATGAGTAATCGGGCTCGTGACCTGACAAGTCCTGGGTCCCGCGGAGCAGGTCCCGGCTCAGGAATTGAGTTGCTGGTGACCTCAGATAGAGAACATCCTTCCTTGTCCAGAAGAGGGGCTGAGATGGTTCTTGCCCAGCTGCCCAAGTATCTGCGCTCAAGAAGCTCCAGGATTTGTCACCTGCTCACTGTTTGCCCACCCAGCTCAGGAGAGGGCCAAGACCTAGGCCAAAGAGCCTGTGGGGACATCCAGGATGGGGCGGAGCAGATTGTGGGCAAGGGCTCCACATCCCTGTGAAACCCTCCCCAGCCCCTAGTTTCCTCTACCCACCCCCCTTTCCCTGTTTTCTTGGGAAGGTGGCTGCAATATGGGATCCTGACCAACAAATCATCTCCAGGAATCCCTCCAGGATTCCTCACTCCTCTCCCTGTGACCTCAAACTCACAGAAATCCTCCTGCCTCAGCCTCAGCCTGTCAAATGCTGAGATTATAGGGATGTGCCACTGTGGTCTGAATTTCAGGCTTTCTTGAATATGCAATTCACATACTTGTGGAACCATCACCATTATCTATCTCCACAGCTTTTTGTCTTTTTTAGTTTAACAACTGTTAGCTGGGCATAGTGATGCATGCCTGTAATCCCAGCACTCAGGAGGCTGAGACAGGAGGATTACTGTGAGTTCAAGACCAGCCCGGGCTACAAAGTAAGCTCAAAGCCAGCCTGAACTGCATAGTGAGACCCTGTCTCAAAAAACCAATAAACAAACAAATAATTAGGAAAAAGGAAAAGAAACATGTATAAACTCATAGGACAGGTTTATTTCAGAACAAATCTGAGAGACTGCTGTGGCACTAGAGACCAGACAAGCTACTCTCATACAGGCTACAAAAGTTTTTATAGGGTCAGGGGCATGAGACATTGGAGGAGGCCAGTAAAAAGTTGTGGTTGCCAGCCAGGGACAAGGCTTGAGAATGCACAGGGAATTGTCAATACTTGTCCAGCTCAGGGCTGAATAATTATGGGAGTTTAGGCTGCAGTGATGATTACAGGGCCTTATCAGCCATTATTACACATTTCTAGCAGGTACTTAAGCACAGCAGGGGGTGTTTAATGTGAGTGGCATCAGTCAGATTCCTTCAACAACCAGCTAAACAGATCTGTCTGCCGAAGACAGCACCTAGGCCCAGTGATCTGGGGTAGAAGCGGGAGTGAGCAAAACAGCTGTACTAACTCTGCAAAGACCCCAGTTGACTTGGCATCCAACACTGATGGGATGCTGCCACCACTGTGGCCAAAGCCACCTCCATGTCTCTAGGTTTCTTTGTTGTTTTTTTGCTTTGTTTTGTTTTGTTTTGTTACTGGGAATTGAACTCAGGACTTTGCACTTAGGCTTTGCACTTATAGACTGAGCTATATCCCCAGCCCTAGATTTTTGTTTTGGTTCTTGGTTTTTTGGGGCAGGGTCTTGCTTTATGATTGCCTTAAACTCATGGCAATCTTCCTGCCTCAGCTTCCCAAGTGCTGGGGTTGAAAGCAGGTACCACCATGCCTGGCTGCCTTCTTGTTTCGGGGGCCTTAGTCCTCTAAGGTGCCCAGGCCTAGAGGAGAGGCTGCCACAAGGTCACCTTGCCCAGCCTCTGACTCCAGCGTGGGTGATGCCCACCAAAGTACTCCCCCTCCTCCCCAAATATTCACTACAAAGTTAATATGTTTCTCATTCTGCCTTCTGGGAAAACCAAGCTTTCTGGAATCTGGGATAGAGTTTGCCTCTCCCTGCCTGGCAGGGTGGGGGGATGCGGAACAGCAGGTGAGAGGTTGGCTCACCTTCACCTCATCCCATCTTTGTGTCGCCAAACCCCTCCATGCCCAGCTGCTCTAAACCTGCTGTCGTGAACTGTAGCCTGCATCCAGATGGAGCATGAACCAAGTAGTCCCCAAACATGATTTGCAGGAAGGGACTCATCCGCCTGCAGTGGGGAAGAAAGCGGCACAAACCTGAGCTCAAGTCCCTGCAATGCCGAGTCACAGTGTGTTCCCAAAGCAGGATACCTACGCCATTTGAGCACAGTTTCATTGGTGGTGTGGGGAGAACAGTGGTGCCTCACCCACATGGTTGTGTTGAAGATTAAATGAGATGCTTTAACCTTTGCATAATTCCTGGAGCATGCTTTTTGGTTAGTACATACAGTAATACCTTCCTTCTGTTTGCAAACAGTTCAGTTCACAAAAAAAGAGTTTGACAAAATTTTGCTCCCTTGACAGACTTTACATTGGGCAACAAATATGACTGTGGTTGTCTTTCTCACGCAAACACAAGCTTGGCTGTCTTCCCCCAGACCTTAAAACACATTAAGCTGATAAATCGAAGCACCACTGTCTTAGCTACTTGGAAAGTAGAAGTATCTGAAGACAAAGGGCTTTTTCCTCTAGCAGCAGCAACCTACTCTCAATGTGGCAAGACTAGTGGTACCCAGGCCAGGCTACAAAGGAAAGGGCTGGTGGGCCAGGGTACATACAGCCTTGAACCAGACTGCCTGAGTTAAAATCCTAGCTCTGCCTGTTGCTACCTGTGTGATGGGCAAATCACTCAACCTTCTGTGTACCTCAGTCTCCTCCTCTCTCTAAGGACAATACTAATACCACCTTCCCAAATTAAATGACTTTACACAAAGCCCTTAGAGCATCGCCCAGGACATGGTGAGCACTACAGCAGCTCAAATGTTCCTGCTCATCCATCTAGAGTTACAATAAAAACAGCAACCACAACAATATCAGCAGTCCCTGGTTAGCATCCT